GTCTGTGGGTGTGTGTGTGTGTATGCACGCGTGTGCATGAATTCATGCATTCATACATATATATATATACATAATGTGTATATATATTATATATTCTATATATATATATATGTATGTAAAGTATATGCTGTAGTTTATGGATATGGTAACCCCCTCAAACAACTCACACCCGAGATGATCATGTACTACATCCATCCTTAAATCCAAAGATTCGTGAAACATCATGATCAAAGAATGGCTAAGTACGTGACTTAAACTACGTGTTACATGAACGGTGGTCAAAGCTCAATTACATGTGATTAAGCAAACAAGCGAACAGTGCATGAATTTATGGAGCCATATGTCAGCATAAGCCAAAGCAAGGTTCTCAGCACACCTGACAAGAAACATGAAATGGGTAAGGAGGCTCAGCTGGTGAATGGTTATGTCAAAGAGCTGTTGCATGCGTTGTTGAAAGTCAATCAGACTTGCACAACCTATCGGGCGAAGATTTAAACAGGCAATAGCAACCCCTCATCTAACATACTGAAACATACCATTGAATACGAAAACCTGAATATGCAACTACTCCTAGCAAGTAGATTAGGTGACTTTCGTAAGTCTACTTTTCTTGATGTATATAACACTGGTACATACACTGTGTAAGCACTTTGAACTAGCTAGTTATTTGCATTACATTGATCTCATCATGGTATAAGTCGTACATGCTCATTCACCAAGCCACTTATTCCTACGGTTGCTAGGATACTACAACTAGGTTGGACAGAAAGTAGACTAAGTACTTGCTCAAACATGTTGAATTAGCTAGCGGCGTAAATCCCGATCATGCCGTCATGATATAAATAGAAAACAAAGGAAGACTGTGTACCCAATTCGGATCGTGTGCTGTGTACTGTGTACATGACGAGGACCGTATTCTGGCATAAACAGAATATTGAACAGACGTGCATCTGGATGGACCCGAATGCAAACAAATTCAAGATCCCACTTTGGCAATTGTGAGATCATGCAAAGCGACTAATGAAAACGAAGAGAGGGTTGCCATATTTGCAGGGTTTTCAATGACTGTGTTTGAAGAAGAAATGAGATCTGGATGTCACACTGTTTCACACATTCGCAAAATCGCAACGATTGAAGATTGCAGAAATCTGCGAACCTGTGATTTTGCAGATCGCAGATTTGCAGAGTCGCGGATCATACAGACCGTCTCGCCGATCTGTGAATCTGCGAATCTGCAAATCTGAGACGGGAATTGTTGGGGGGACAGGGGTACCATACATACATATATATATATACATACATACATACATATATATATATACACACACACGCACACACACACACATGCATTGCATAGGTATGTATGTATGCATGTAAAGTATACATACAAATAAGCAAATACATACTATGAACAAATATATTGAATATTGGCAATTATTAGCATATGGATCACAAGCATACACACACACATATATATATATATATATTTCTACACACATACACACATCAATATGGACATCGATAAAACTTGCTGTGTTTGAGGCCTGGTCATGGATGCTTTGGAGGTCCTATCGCTTCAAAAAAGATCTGGTCATGTTTTTTCTGTGGGGGTACGCTTTACTTTTGTGGGATTAACACTAAATGGTAGTAGTACGAGTAGTAAAGCAAAAGTGGCAATAGTCATGTAGGCAGTAGCAGTAGATGTAGTAATGGTAGTGACGGTATTGAGAGCAACAATACAGATGATTCAATCAGATTAGGCAGCGGATCTGGTGTTTAGCGACAAAGGTTATCGATTGCGGTATCCATCGTCTAGCCGAGTGGAAAATTCATGTCACAACAGAAGATCTTCGTTGGTCGTATCGCTTCTGGGCGGGTCCTGTCGCTTTTCGAGGGTTTCGGCCAAATGCGGCATTCCAAGACCACCCTGCTCTTGACTACACTTACGGAAGCTTTGACGGGCTCACAGGGGTAGTTCTCCAAATTGGGGTCCCTTTTGGGGTCCTTTCTATAAGGGCGCCGTACTATATATCGGGGATCGAAGAAGTGGACCCTAATCTAGAGAACTACCCACATCCAGAAGCCCTCTGTCTAATTTCATCGCTTGGGGACCTTGTCAAGGAGGCTGTGGACCTCCGTCAGAGCCTCGTTCGTCGGCTTGAAAAGGAGGTTCCCCTTGACGGTGGCCATCCGGGCGCACGGCGGCTAGGGCGGTTAGGCTTTGTAGGGTTTCTGGCTTAGGTGTTCCAGGGTGTTGAGGGTTTCTAGAGCTTTAAAAGTGTTAGGGTTTAAGGGTGCTGGGCTGGTAGGGCTTGGGTCTGTTCTGGTATATAGGGTATATAAGCCATATAAGGGTCTCTGCTTTTCAGAAGCCTTGCAGATTTAGCTAAACTCTGAGCCCTGAAGCCCAGGGGAGTCGGGCATGTGGTCCAGAAGCTCGCCGGAGTTCTCTGACGGGCTGGGCAGGTCTGCAACTTTCCGGACGCCTTTTCGACGTGACGTGCACTTGGAGAGATTCTTCCGTGCTTTGCGAGAAGGTCGTAGGTGGGAACACCCAAAAGCGAGGCGCAAGCTTGGATCTAAGCGACTCGCCTACCCCGAATCGCGTCGCAGGACGAGATTGTTATATGCGGGTCCTCAGTCGAGAAAAGCTCTCAGGGGCTCCTCGGGACTCCATGGGATTTCTGACATTTTCTCCTCTAAAGCCACTTTGGCACGCAAGGTGCGGCAAACCAGAGCTTACCTGGCTGTGAAACGGAAGGCCCGGGACAGCCCTTGGGACTCTTTCTCTCCCTTTTTATTAATCCTTAAGTCGTTAAGCTGACTACAGTGGAGCCCGCAAGCTTGTCCTTACTTAGGGTCTTGTAGGGCTTACCCAGGTCCCCTGCGGCGAGGCTGGGTTCCTCCAGGTCCGCTAGTCGCTTTCCCCCAGGTCCTCGTCGGCACCGCGAGGATGGTGCTGCAAGCCTCCGAAAACAGGAAGGACAAAACAGAGCAGAAAGGCCACGGAAGGCCCGCACCGAGCCTTTACCGAGCTTGCCAAGGACGCAGGTGTTCTGTATGAAGTGCAATCCCATCAAGACCCAGAAGACGTTGATGGAGTCGCTGCACAAATAGGCTTCGCCTTCTTGCTGGAGCCGTACAACCTGAATGATGCCGTAGATTCCCAGCCCCACTTGTGCGAGCATCACCATGGACTGGAGCACCAACACCGCCGTCATCCCGCCGCCGTAGTGCAAGGCGCTCTCCTGGAGCTCTGACCGGTGCGCCGCGGCGGACACCGAGTGCTGGCCCCCAGCGATCGAATAGGTCTGACCGGGATGAGACTCTTTTTTGGTTTTTGGGCTCCTGTTTGCTTCGAGGGAGTTGCCTTTTGTCTGTAACTTCGCCAAAGTACTCTATGCCTACAACTGCCTAGACAATCCTACTCAGCGCAGCTTTTCCACGAGAAGAAGGGGCTCGGAATCTCAGCCTGGGCATGCTCCTCCATGATCTGGGCCACCGCATGATGGCTCACCGCAAGCCTCAGAAAGAGAGCGAGAGAGAGAGGGTGAGAGACCATGGACTTAGACTCGTACTTGGCGAGCTTCTGGTAGGGAGCTTCTGGGACGGGGCTTTCAGTTGCGCCAAAAGGTCAATACGTCCAAGTGGCATCATCCCCTGCATCAGGTACATGCCGATCACGAGCAGGACCGCCAAGAAAAAGTTGGAGATGCCCTCGAGCCAGAAGTAGAGCGACAAGGGGGCAGTACAGGACAAGGGCACTTTCGTTGAGTACCAAGTGTAGCAGAAGGCCAAGATCAGCACGATGAAGATCAACAGCAATCCGATGCCCAGAACGAACATCGATTGCTTGTGGTTCTCCATGACCGCCTTCTGCGTGGCTGTTCGCCCCACAGGTGTGTAGCCATAGGATCCATTGGACTTCAGCATACGTCTAACATCTACGAAATGTCACCTTCTAGGAGCCAGAGCTGGAAGCGAGTCTCCTATACGATGCGGTTTTGAAGGGGAGTCCGCTCTGGCAGAGATGATAGATAAGAGATCCCCAATTTTGTCGCTTGCTCGCGCGGAGAGATCTCGCGCTTGGACTAGGCTCCCAGGGCATCTGCCCTGCACGCCCCTGGTGGGCTTTCGGTGAGACGTTCTTGCAGCAGATGTCCCAAAACCATCACCGAAGGCCAACAAGGAGTTCTGGTTACGAGTGCTGCTCGTGAGCTGGAGATGGGCAGGGTATCCTTTTTTGTCAAGTTTTCTTGTTGTTCGAGACATGACTGTTGTAGTCTTGATCATTGTCCCGGCAGGAGAGGGATGGATGGATGGATAGAAAGAAAGGAATGAAGGTGGAACGGCAGAAAGAAACGCAGGGAAAGCAAGAACACAAGAAAGAAGGAAAGCAAGGGATGTGCGTGGAAGAAGGGAAAGAAAGGGGACAAGAACGAAAGAAAGAAACCAAGGGATTCCACAGCGGACGAAGGGAGGGCAAACCACAAGCATCAACTGAAAGAAAGAAACAAACCAAGGGATGGACAGTGAAAAGTAGCAAGGAGAAAAGCTCAAAAGGAAGAGGGGAAGAAATAGACAACCAAGAAATGACTGCACGGCAAACAACGGAAGGGAACAACACATGAACTAGAAGAAAAGGAACCTTGATGGAAGGGAAGAAACAAGGAAATAAAGCAAGAATGCAAGAAAGCCCCTTCGATTCTGTTTGCAGATGTGGGAAGCCCACGCGATAAGCACACCAAAGCAACAAAATTACGACAAAAACAAGGAAGGGTAACAAACATATCCTCGCTCCACTGGAACTCATTACAGTTGCGGTGACGGCCGCATGCTCGTTCGTACTGTCGTTGAAGTCTCCCTAGGCTCGGTTCAGTTCGGGAGGTTCTTGGACACCAGTGCGCATCTGCATTAAAGCTATGTGTGCTTTCCGCACACGCGTCGGTGTTTTTTTTCGACCAGTATTTTACGGGATGTATATTTTGGGAGAGCTCCCCTCACCAATCTATGCCAGGCCTGGCGCCCAGACGGGATTTTTCTCTCTGCCCTGCCCCTGAAACCCCTTAACCCCTAAACCCCTAAAACCTCAACCCTAAACTTTATTAAAACCTAAACCCCTACACTCCTATAAACTCCAAAACCCCTAAACCTCCCGGATCCCTTGTTTAAAGACGTGCCGGAGCGGCTCGTCCTCGCCAAGTTTCCTTGCCCTTGGCACCTTGAAGACTCGAGATGCGTGGCTGTGTAAGGCTCTGCCACATCACCCTGTAAAGAACTACGCTTATATAACACTGCAGCATATCTGTCCATGTCTCACTCTGCGGCGGGATTGACTCTCAGCAGCTGACTGGTCGAGGGGGCGTAGGAGGTCTCTGCTGCATGACCGCGGGGTCCCACATCATCTGCTGGCGCTCGACAGGGTAGATCAGCCTCGGAACGCCAACAAAGGGTGAACTTTTTTCACGGCCGTGACACAGCTCATGCTTCCGGGTATGTTTCAGTCTCTTGCTTCGGCACGACGGTCAGGTCGCGCCGTACAAAAAGGAGCGCGCCCGCGTTCTTGTGGTGCCCACAGTAATCCTCCATTTTGAATCGTCTCTAAGACTCCCCTCTCTCTCTCAACCTTTTTTGCAGGGCCGGCCGTGGCACTGAACACGGTGATCAGCTTTCCGTTGGCAAAGCGCTCAAAGCCATCCTTACAGCGGCTCAAGGGCTGAATTCTAATTTAAGGCTGCGTATAGACAGGCCCGAGGAGCCATGACGCACTCATGTGCTCGGATGATCATCGACAAAGGCTTGTTCTTCTCCAGAAACTCCTGCATGAAATGGAGCGCGTGCGCTCTCTCTGTCTTCCTTTGTTCGCGGAGAGGAGCCGTGAACGTCTTTAAAGAGTGCATGCGGGCCGGGGCCTCAACTCTGTCCGGGCCGAACTTCACAATGCGGCCAGTTCCATCCGGGTCGCGAGTCTCGTTGAGAGACACTCCGGGAACCTGGCCAAAAAAACGGGCACTTCAAGGCTCTCCGTCCGGCTTTTCTTGCAAAAAAGGCATATGCTGGGGAAAGGGGAAGCTGAGAGAGCACCGAGTCATTGTCTGATGGATCACTCCACCTGGGAAATCCGCCCAGCTCCAACATCAAGTCTTTGCTGGCTCAACGCGCTCAAAGCCCCCTCTAGGGCTCCGTGCAGTAGGTCCGTAATCCGTTGCTCAAACGGCGTCTGAGGTATCTGGGCCACGTGCAGGGGCCTCACACAGCCAAAAAAAGTGCCGACTCGCCGAAAGAAGCGCTGTGGCGGGCCCGCCTTTGCATGGTTCGAACTTCTGCCACGTTGTTCACCGAACCACCGATGCCTGCAGAAGCTGGAGCCTAGCGGCCTAGCGGATCTCTTACTCTCCCAGGCTGCTTAGCTGGCCTCCATGAAGGCAGAGGATCCGATCTTCAATCACGGCTCCAACCGGCAGCCATTCGAAGGCCTGGACTGGCGGCGCGGCTTTTCTGTGCAGGGAGGGTTTGGGTGGCGACGAGGGCCCAGCCCGGTTGAACTTGTTCCAACAGGACTCCGGATCCTCGGGCTCCTGCGTCGCAAGGATGACAGCTCCGAGGTCGATATATTTTTGGTTTGGGCTTTCTTGGGCTCACCTCGTTCAAGCGGCGCCGACACTCGTCCCGGAAGCCGTAGATCGCATTGATGGTCGGGTCCTGCGGAGTTCATTAGATCCTATATATTTGAGCCTTTGTGATCAAGCCACCCAGGCAAAGCTAAAGCCCTCCCCCTCTCTCAACTTCCCAACTTCCCAAGTTTCTGGCCTCATGGTTCCCCCGGATCAAGTGTATCTGGTTGGGATACTTCACCTGGCTCTCTGAATCTTCCAGAGGCAGCATCGCTTCGATAAGAGAGCATCTCGTCTTTCAGCCCCTAGGAGGCGCCTTCAGAGAGAAGAGGAGGCAAACGGTCTCCAGCGAGAAGGCACCGCGATCCTAAGGAAGCGAAGGAGATGGGCCCTGGTTTGCAAAGGTTAGTCTCTCAGAGCTTCATGTGCGGGTCTGTACAGGGCTTCAGGTTTGGAGGTCCCTCTGAGCCAAAGAAGTGAAGGAGGGAGGGAGAGAGAGAGAGAGAGAGCAAAGCGGCGGCTCTAGGACGGCTTTTGCACAACTTAGGAGGCAACCACGTAATCGCCAAGGAAGAGATAGTCCATCGACTCCTCTTTCTTGCTTCCGTGCGCTCAGAGGTTTTTGGCAGACATCCAGGTAGCAAGAAGTTCTGGGCAGCCGACGATGTCACCATTTTCTCCATCCCACGGGGCTTTATACCTTCAAGTTCAAAGAAGGACCGCAAGAGCGAGTGTGACCGCAAGAGCGAGAGCTCTTGCCTGGCGAAAAGCCGCATCAGGTCCAGGAACTGCCCGTGGATGTCCCCGTAGACCTCACGATGGAACCATCCTTCGACAGAAACCGAAGAGGAGGGTGCAGGGCTGCCTTGATGGGAGCGCGCAGTCGCAGGACCATCTCTTGGGATTTCAGAACCTGCGACAAATTATTAGAGTTTCAGACTTTCAGAGAGCGTGCCAGTGAGGCTCCGAAGGAGCGAAAAGCGCGCCCGGTCCAATCTCCGACCTCGAGGGTCTGGTCACATAACCGACTGACCTGACCAGACAGACAGCGCGCGCGCTTTAGGGCGGCGGAGGGGGGGGGGGGGGGGNNCCGCGGGCCGTGCCTCCGCCGCGCTCAAGAGGAAGCTGTTGGGGTTTGCATCCGGCTGCCATGTTGTCGGCCTATAGGGGCGTGTCAAGGGAGGCAACAAGGGGCTTCGAAAAAAGGGGCGGGGAATGTTTTCGAGAGCTTCCGGCTGGAGCAATGCGTTGATGCAGTGGGTGTGGATCCCCTCGTCTCCCTGGCAAGA